CGGACATAAGGGGTACGGCGTTCTCGATCCGCCGGACCCCGTCCCCCCTATTGAACGGGGGGTCCGGCGTTCCCAATCCGCCGGACCTCCTTCTCGACGCGCACGGGGTCCGGCATTCTGAGTCCGCCGGACCCTCTGTTCGGTTCGCGGACGCCGGACCCCTGCACGCTTAGAAAGGGGGTCCGGCGGATTGGGAACGCCGGACCTCTTTTTCGACGGGGGGGGGGTTTGGACCTGGCCGGTCCGGACATAAGGGGTCTGGCGTTGCTCATCCGCCGGACCCTTTCCTTTGACGAACAGAGGGTCTACCGTTCCGAATCCGCCGGACCCTCTGCCCGGTTTGCGCACAGCGGCCCCTCCCCCCTGCCCGTCGAAAGGGGGGTCCGGCAGGTTACCTCCGCTAACGGATAGGCCTTCGGCGTTCTGGATCTCATGGACCCCCTGCATTGGATATGTGAGCCCGTTGTTCCATATGGGAGTCTTGTGTAGAAGGTGGGGGGGGAGGGAGGGGGGGGGGAGGCATCCCTTCTCATGTGTCTTCCTGTTTTTGATTCCTCTGTTATGTTATGGCCTCTTACAGGGCATTTCCATCTGCGTTACCAACTCAATGGCAAGCGGGATGGACAGTTGTTACTTCAGTTCTTTGCCATCTGTGGAGTCTCTTCGCACGCCCGTGCCCCATGCTGCTGAGAACTCATGTGAGAGTCAGTCTCTAGACGTTGCCATCACACCGTCGAAACGTGGCCTTCCGGCACACCGTGCTGATAGTATGCCCAGACGTCGCGCACGTTATCTGGTCGTCCCATCTTCCAATGCGCACGTCGTGCGTCGTCTTTGCCTTGACGACATCATCAACGACGCCGTCGGCTTGCCTTCTGATGCCGCCACGGGACCACCGCACGGGTCTGCTGAACCTGCTATTCGGGTGAATTCGCCACCAGCAAGTGACACTGGTGACCGGTGTGCTCCCATGGACATGCTATCGCTGCTGTCATGCGAAGGCAGTGGACGAGGGGGGGGGGGGATTTTACTCGTTTGTCGGACGTTGACTTGCCGGTCGGAGAGGATACCGCTGTATCTGCCTTGTCTGTGTTGTGTGGTGGAAACGGAAAGAGAAAATACACGTACAGACTGAGGAAAAGAAGTGCTTCAACTTCCACCTCCTCTTTCGAACGTAGGTGTAGCGTGGACGAGTGTGACGCCGTCCTTCACAAAACATATTGCAAGACGTATCAATGTCTTTCTAAACTGGGAGTAGAGGATGTGACGAAGTGTAGGCGTGACTACCACGTTCTCAAAGGGCTGGATAGGCGAAAATTGTGAATGGCAAAACTCCAGAACTTCATTTCATTAGTTGACCTCAAACCGACAGTCAAACCGATAGTGCAGTTGCACCCTGTGTGTGTCACTGCTTGGTGTCTCATACTTGGTGTTGGCAGGAACACGTTCAAAAGATACAGCGATGACCTTGACGGCGGAACAGTCAACGCTCCTCGCGGCCATGATGGGCGTCCACGGACAACGACCACCTACGCCATCACATGGTCGGCGTTCGAGGACATAATTTTGGATGAGTCTGATCCCATGCCAGATCAGACTGAAACAGGCCCGAACTTTGAGATCAGAAATCGCATTCGGCTCCCGTCGGTGAACGCGACGAAGAAGGACGTCTTCCTAAGTATTCGTAGACGACTCTCTAAGCTTGGTGTTTGCCGCGCATCGTACCAGGTCTTCTGCAAGATGTGGAGGGACTTTTTCTAGCACGTTCGCCTCGCAAGGGTGACCGACCACGCGAGATGCAACGAGTGCATTAAAAATAGCATTCTCATAGAGGGTGCTCTCCCCGAGCTGAGACAAGCGCTGGTCGCAAAACAGAAAAGTCACATTGCACTGCAGTGCGCACACCGGAAAAAGTACAGCGTGCGGTCCGCTGAATCGGAACATAGACCGAAACAGAGTTTGTGTATCATCATCGACGGTATGGATCAAGCAAAAACAAAGATTCCCCATGTGTCGAGAAGACGTTTGTCAAAAGAAATATCGAATAACACGATGATGAAAACTAATCTCACTGGGATAATCGCGCATGGTAGGACACCGTCGCTCTTTGTCCACACGTGGTTCCCGTACTTGTCACACGGCTCGAACTCGGTTGTTAACTCCATTGCCAAAGTGTTGAGAGATTTCCACGCACGCGAAGGGGCGCTCCCGCCGAAGTTGCGGGTGCAAGCTGACAACTGTGGGGGATAAAACAAAAACAAGTATGTGTTCGCCTTCATGGCCATGCTTGTCAAATTTCGGATATTTGAGGTCGTTGAAATGGGGTTCATGATAGTGGGTCACACACACACGGACATAGATGCGAAGTTCAGCTTGTTTGCAAAACAATTGAGCGGTTGCGATGCATATACCATGGACGAGCTCTTCGATGTCCTCAAAGCATCCTGCGAAGAGGAGGTCGATTACACGTTGCTCACTGAAATTGCTGACTGGAAAACCGCCATAGATCCGTACATCGATCATAAAATCAAGGGTCATGCCACGCCACACCTCTTTCGGTTTTACATGGACGGGGACAACCCCGCCATGATGTACAAGGAATTTTGCACCGACAAAAAGTGGGAGCCAGATACTGGCCCTGTCTATTGGTTTAAAAGGGACACACGCAACGGGTGGGCAGGGCCTGAATGGGGTTTCCAGCCTTGCCGTGAGTCACCTAACCCGGAGGCAGGCGATTTCGTTAACGGAATAGGGGGGTTGCGTGTTCTCCATAGATCGTGGGAGAACTTACAAAACCATTGGGAGACACAAGACGGACACACAAGAGCAATGAATTGTAGACGCTTAAACTACTGGTCCGAGAATCTGAAAAAGTTTGAAAACATATCGCAAGAGGAGAGCGGTACGGCGCCCCTTGAAGGTCCCTTATGGCCAACTCCCATGCCCGATACACAAGATCTCCCGTTACGTGCACCGCATGTCCTCGACTCGCCACCGAGGAAACCTTGCTTCGTCGGTTACAAGAGAGACGCTCCCAAACCGGAGTTCAAACCGCATGACTCTGTCGCCGTGAACAACTTCGTCGTGTTCCGCGCGCCCGACGAGTATGTTGAAAAGGGCTGCACATTTTGGATAGGGCGTGTTATGGAGCGGGATGATAGTCGTACTCACGTCAAGTATTGGACACCTTGTGGAAGGGATCGCGACTTATCGAAGCTGTATGCAGACGCATGGGCAAAGAAGTGGAAGGTTGAAACTGAATCCGCCGAAGGATGGCAAGACCTCGACGTCATTGTGTGGGCATGGGCCAACAACAAACGGTCCGAGACAGGTATGCGGATCCCTAAGCGAGACGCTCTCAATGCACAGTTGTCATTGGCCGTCCCTGATAAGATGCCCGTGTCAACGCCCGATATGAGATCTGATTCAGACACATATGTGTAGACGTGAGGAGGGAAGGAGTATGAGCGATGATCATATGTTCAATATGAACAACACAAAGCACATCGCTGATTGTTCGATTGAATTGCATTTTTCTCTTTTTTTTGTTGTGTTTAGAATGTCTGCATCGTCGGAGTGGAAGCCTAATGAGAAATGGGGGACGCCGGTGAGATGGGAGGACCTTCTGTCATGGAAAACAAGAACACAAATGAGGGTTGTCGGTGTGCAGGCAATCGACTGGACAGTTTTGGGCCCTCGATTGAATTGTGGTACGACGAGGAGCACTTGCAAGTTCTCAACCTCGCCAAGACAGCGGGGAGTGATGCAAACAACGCAAGGCAAGGCAGTGGCAAGTGGACCAAAGCATTTTACGAGTTGGGGATAGTTCACATGTGGGGGGAGGGTGGGCGTGAGGCATCAGTGGCATGCGTCGCGTTCTGTTCTAATGACGGCCTGACACGGTGCACGACACGGATTGAACGAAAGAAGGTGTCATCGATGGAGCAAGAGACCACCATGCAAAGGGCAATATTGAAGTATATCAGACATGTATGCAACGAAATCAGAGATGCAATGTTGCGCTTCATCAACGAAAGGTCGAGGATCATCATTCACGTGGCGACGACTTTAATGACATGCCACAACGAAGATGGGCAAAAATAGAAACTGAAAAAAACTAACACAATAACAAAGTTTAATATTGTCGATCATATTCAACGGCGCGAAAGTGGCAAACGGAACAACTTGCAGTCTGTCTTGCGTCGATGTCCGCTTTGACTGTTGTTCCGCAATGACTCGTAAACTCACTGTCACAGTTCCGTACTTCGTCTGTGTTTGTGATGCCTATGTTTTTGTTTTCTCCCTTTTTTTTTTTTTTTTCATGCAGTATGGACCCGGAATGGATGCAGAGGCAGTTAAGACAAGATTGGTGGGGAACGCCAATCAAATGGGGGGAACTGATATCAGAACGGCTGAGGAGACAACGTAACGCCATCGGACTTGTCACGTGGGATTTTGCATATTACGAACCGTCACTGCACTTGTATCCTCTAAGCGCAAGAAGAAATATTTACAACCTCGTGGGGGTGTGCGACTGTCAGAATAATAATAATTACAAGAACGAACGCAAGATACAAGGAGGTCTTCTACGGTTACGGCCTTGTGACTGCCCCGGTGACAGAGAAATGCAGCGCCACCATTGCATGTGTTGCTGTGCAATATCACGAAGGGCTTACAATATGTGCAACGAAGACATGGAGACAAAAGATCCCGCAGAGTGATGCAGGAGACTCGATGGTGCGAGCGTACAAACAGCACGTTAAACAATATTGTATTCACTCACAGGATACAATGTTGGAATTCGTTGCTCGGAGGACTGCCATCACTGCTTCTATCTCAACAGTCATCGTAGAGAATGAAGAAATAATGGGGGTCAACCGCAAATTAAAAAAAATAAAGTTAACCACCAACTTCAACATCACGAAGAGTGTACTCCGCCGAGTCAACGGTCTGAGCAACGGCCTGGTTCACTTGCGTTGCTGTAGCACTTCTAGACATTTCGTGCCTTAGCACATGTAGACGGACATGGCAATAGAGTAGATCATGCGCTTGTACGAGTGCTCATATCGTTTTACGTGTTGTCATATGCCGGATTTTAGTTTTTTTAAAATGATGTCGAAGCGAATTTCCACCTTTTGTACGATCATGTACGACTGCACATATTCGTAGTGTAGAGGAGTGTATGAAGTATAGGGCAACAACTTTCATAGACATTATGCTAGTCAAAGATAGATAGATAGATAGATAGATAGATAGATAGATAGATAGATAGATAGATAGATACATACATAGATAGATAGATAGATAGATAGATAGAGCGAGAGAGAGAGAGAGAGACATGGAGTCTCTCTATGTACATATATTTCAGCGCACATGTATCATATATCACATGAGCCAAAATCCGCATCAATGTTTCTTTGTATTTGTCTAAAGAAGTCAATTTTTTTTTTTATATGAATTTCGAAAATATTCACATAACGTTGTTCGTAATTCTAGGGTGGAACAAAATGTCTCGAACTTTTTTAGATGTCCATGGAATTTTTTTGTCATTGACTGGACATGCCATATGTATTTTTTAGTATGATATTCAATATATTTATCTTGTCTTAATGCATTTGTCAATAAAAAACGAAAACCAACAGATATTATTTTGCGAAACATAGTAAATGCTAATTGATATGATAGAAGAGTACAATAAAACCCATAATAAAGACCCCTATAGCATCACATAATGCGAATAAAATTGTAACACCCCCCAAAATGTGTGAGAACGCAATGTAAAACTTGTGGTCAATATGAGCACAAACTATAAACAAATGCGGGGTACCTACCCAAAATGGTGTGCTCAAAACGTAAAAAATCACCAAAATCAGCATGAAAATGACAATTTCAATTTCGTTCAAAAAATATAAAATGTCCGTTTTGACGAAATCGCTGTTGTAGGAGACGAAGGGGTTGCGGAGGCAGGTGGGGTAGTCATGATGGTAGCGGAGGAAGGGTTGGGACTGTATTATAGAGAGGGTAGAACAAACAAATTAGTCCTCGTGTCGCTTACTGCTTCGTCAGGATCTCCACTTGGCCGTACCGAGGTCCGGTCTTCTGTTCAGGTTCGTTTCACGGAATCACCTCCTCGTTCATCGGAACTTTCTCGGGCCGGTGTAGTCGAGTCAGCCCGTCCGCATTCCCCTGTCTCTTGTGCTTCTGATGACGGATGTCAAAGTCCATGCTCTGCAGCACCGTTGCCCATCGCCCGATCATGCCAGAGTAATCCTTCCATTTCTTCAGAGCCAGCAGGGGCTCATGATCAGTTACCAGAGTGAACTTTCTCCCGTACAGGTAAGCGCGAAAGTGACTGATTCCCCAGAGAGGTGCGTACCATTCTCCTGTTGGAGCGGCGTAGTTGTGCTTGCAGGCGGGCACTGATTTGGACGCATACTCCACCACGCTCTCGAGTCCACTTGGCCCCACCTGGGCAAGGATCGCCGAAATTGCCTAGGGCTGCCAGTCGGTGATGAGAACAGAAGGTTTTTCGGGATCCGATCTTATAAGGACCGGGGTCTTATAAGGACCGGAGCCGAAATGAGAGCGGCCTTGAGCTTGGAAAATGGTTGATCTTTACGTAGCAGATTTGTGAGGGGTCATGCAATCGCTGCGAACCCCTTGATAAATCTTCGGTAGTGCGAGGCCAGGCCCAGAAAGGCGCGAACTTGCGTGATAGTCGTAGGCACCGGCGCATCCCTGAGAGCGGCCACCTTCTGCGGCTCCGGTTGGAGCCCCTTATCAGTCACCTCGTGTTCCAAGAAGGAAATGGTGGTCAGAAAAAACTGACTCTTCTCGAGCGCCACTTTGAAACCCGCATCCCGTAGCGCGTGCAGTGCCCATTCGATGTGCTGCACATGTCCCTCGTAGGAACATGAGTACTCCAAGATGTCATCCATGTACACAATTACGCAGTAGTTGATGATAATCTGCGCCAAACGAGTCTTCCACACGAAATTCTGAAAAGCCATGTTCATGGCTCGCTGAAAGGTCGCGGGGGCGTTGCAGATACCCATCGGACATCGAACCTATTGCCACGTTCCCTCGAAAAGCACAAACGCTGTTTTCGGACGATCTTCTTTTCGAACAAGAAGATGATGGAACCCATGGCGAACATCAAACTTGCTGAAAAATCGAGCACTCCCAATCGCATCCAACAACTCATCAATCCGGGGGAGGGGGTACACACACATCTTCGATCGTGATATCATTCAACTTTCGATAATCGATGCAAATGCGAATCCCTCCGGCCTTTTTAGGCACGATCACTACGGGAAAAGACCAAGGACCTATTGCGGGTTCGATCCATCCATTAGCTTCGAATTCTTTAATCCGCTGAAAAGCGGCCGCTCGTTGAGCTGGCGAGTATCGGTAAGGAACGCAGCTAATGGGTGGGTGGGGAAAGCCTCAAACTATTCCCTGTTCCGCGATTCCACTATCGATGTCGGAAGAAAAACATTCTTCGGGATTAGTGGATCGAATCATCCCTATTTGGGCCGGGTTAGGGGTTTGCTTTATCGTTCGGGTGGAAATTCGCAAGGGAATAGTTTGAGGCTTTCCCCCAGTTTGCGTGAGCACCAGTTGTTTTGAATCAAAATGCAGTCGTGCGCCTACCGCCATCGCCCAAGGTAGTCCTAACAACACAGAATAGGAACGTACATCTATCACGAGCGCGTTGACAATGACGTGTACTCGTCCGACTTTTACAGCCATATTCTTGATAATGCCCACGATGTTCATTGCTTTCTCGTCGGCAGAGACATAATGGTCTTTGCCAGATAGAGGAAGAATGGCTCCAAGTCGTCCTGTCTTTTTGACAGTGTCTAATGATATGGCCGCTGCAGAAGATCCTGTGTCGATAAGGGCGTCAAACGGCTTGCCCCACACCTCACATTCACATTCCACGCTTTTCCACAGTACCGGCCGAGCTCGTACGAAGTGATCTTTTTCTGCTAGAGAGATCGCCACTATACGCGCGGCTTCAGGTTTAGGTTCCCTTGTATCGGGAGATGCAACTTTCTCGTCTCCTTCCTTCCTTTTTAACATTCGCTGTATACGCTAGTACGTGAAGCGCTTTTGATTTTTCTGATAATGTTATAAACGTTTATAATTTGCAGCTTCGGATATGGTGAGCAAATGTCCTACCGGGATAGGAACGCGAATATCTAGTTGCTTGAGTGTTTTTAATACATCAATGTCCCCTGTGCGAAACTGCGGACCAGGATTGGATTCGCGATCGACCCATTCGAGATCATCCGGGGCCGATCGGATCACTCCGATCATGCCTGTGAGATGAAGATACTCAAGTGGATTGACCACGTCATCGGCGTCAGAGGAAGAAGCTCCCGATGTCGACGCCGTTGCCAATGAGGGGGATGGTTGTTCTGGGGCATATGCTACGAGTTCTCTTCCCTGGTCCGTATCCATCAAAGCGGCCACTCGTCCTTGATTCAGGGTGACAGGGGCCGCAGCAAGTGGAGGCTGATTACGCTTGGGCTGCGGACAGTCTCGGGCAAAATGCTCGGGCTGTTTGCAGTTAAAACATTCGATTTTTCCTGCTGGATTAGCTAGATGAGGGAACTGAGGTGCGTACCCCGGAGCAGGCGGGGCAGGCAAGAGTGGAAATGGCGTAGGGGCAGGCCGAGCAAGGGCGGGGTTGGGCTTGATTAGCCTTCCCATTATCTGTTTCATCCGCTCCATGTGAGCGGCCTGCATTTGGATCAAGTTGCTTATCCATTCGGACTGCTTCGTAGTAGCCGTATGGATCATCTGGGCAAGATGTAAGTTGGTTATGGCCGTCGAGGGGGGTTCGAGTGAGATTCCGCTTTTAACTGCCGTGATCGATTGATTCACCGGGGGAGTGGGAGAAGAAGCAGGCGGGATATCGGAAACGATCCCGCCGGGAAGGTCATGGTCGGGGCAGGGATAAAATCGTTCGATTGCCTGCAACCACGACCGCCTTTTAGCCGTTACGTCCCGTATGGTATCTATAATATCTTCGTTTCCCTGACTGATATATTTTTTTGTATCAGCCAAGTCCAGTTCCAGTGCTTTATCAATGATAGCCGATAACTGGTGTGTTTTCGGCGGTACTTTTTTTTACAGTTT